TATTACTATATATAAACTTAATTTATATTCAACACATGCATCAATATAATGCTAGAGACCTGTGAAGACAAGATAGAAGACATACTGCTCTCACTTCTTTTAAGAAATGACAACTAATGAGTTAATGCAGGCATTAAAAAGCATACAGGCAATGCTGGGCTTTCTTTTTAAAAGCCTAACTTGCTTTGCATACTTATTGTAATGGATACACCATGTAATACATGCTAGTTAAAAAACAAATATACAAAAAATTAACAAATTAAATAAACATCAGTTTATGCATTTTAAACATAAAAGAAAAAAAATTGATACAATTGTTTTTCCTTTAACCCTTTCGCTGCCAACACCATATCCCACAGGTTGCTGGCAGCACCCCCTCTAAACAGACTCCTGGTAACTCTGATTAGCTGTGTAAAGACAACGATCGGCTTTATACTGAAAGTGATTCCAGCGGTTGAGCCAGTAACAAAAATTTTAAAACATAAATAAAGTAGAATAAAATAATTGTAAAAATACCCCAAAAAAGTTATAGTCTGCTACCTTCTTGAATGCCTGCAAACTAATGTAAACATGCTTCCGGTGTGCCTAGTACAAAACTGACGATTGCGCTACACATGCTAGGTATTGCTGCATGTGCCAGAGTGAAATAATTCTAGGGCCAATATTCATGGTTAACTCTAAACTAATTACCTGTTCATGCTTTTAAAGTGTTGCCTATGGACTATTTGGGGTAATGTATTTTGTTGCTGTTTCACGGGCACACTCATTTTTTAAGCATGGCATGTTGGGTATCTATTTACTTAGCATAACCTTATATTTTATATTTTACAAAAGAAATGGGTATCATGTTGTGTTTTAAAATTAACTTAAGCATAATTTTTACTTAAATTTTGGATTTGATAAAGAGTTGTGCTAATATCATGGGACATTATAGCATGTGTGCAAAAAAACACCTTGGCAGCAAAAGGGTTAAGACACTAAACTAGGCAATCTACAAAGGCAACTAAGCCAGCACTTCTAATTATATGCATATTTGGACACTTGACTTGCATTAAGGGCTTTTTATTGTGTATATTAGCACACATTTGTCTTCAGTAAGCCTAAATGTGGGTCTGAAATGAATTGCAAGATGCTTATTAGAATGTGTCATACATAAATGAAAAAAATTTAACTGCACAGCAAACTCTCTTATGGGAAGAATCTGCTCTCCTTTCTCCCACAAATCACTAGAAGTATATAGACAAACAAGCATTAATTGGATCATTAAATCAGATGATGGTCATCAAGTATAGTTTAATTCACCAGTGATGTTTATATCTATTGTATATACTTTATGAGGAATAGCAAATATTCTAAATTAATTTACAACTTAATGTAAAGTGGGTTAGTTCATGATTATATGCTGTAGTGCAGTAGCTTAAATTTCCATAGCAACATAATAAATGACAGAGTGCACAAGTTGCAAATAATTCAATTTCTGTAGAGTAATGAATAAGGGAACATTGCTATAAAATAATATTTAGTCTTGCTGTCTTCACTATAAACCCGTTCCAATGACTTACATTTGATACTGAAATAATTTAACAAAGTATTTTACATTTCTGCCCAATTCCAGTTTTTAGATGACTGTTCTTGTACAACTTTAATTTAACTACTGTACAGAGTATGCCATTTTGTAGTACCTTTAACATCTAGTGATAATGAAAGCCAACTTTAGGCTTGCATAGTTGAACTAAAAAGAGTGCCAATTCCTTAAGAACAATTTAGCTAAAGAAGCTACTTGTCAGACCTAGGGCTCTTATAATAATTTAATACAGAATATTCACTTTATTAATACAAAAACTCCAGCACCACTATCTAAAAACCCCCAAAGTTAAAAAGATTTTGACAATGTTGTCAATAAAAACACAAACTCACTCTTTCACCAGTTGTCATCTAAATTCATAATGAGTAAATAAAGAATTACTTTGGTACCAGTAGAATTAGCACTATAGCTTGCATATTTGAAGCCTGTACAGTTGTTTTATTGACCACCTCAATCCCAACATGTTACATCCCCTTTCTGTCCAGGTGATTCTCCAGTTTTCAGTGCAGTGGTAGCTTGTCTGACAGTTACTTGGTCATGCAATAGTCTACCCAAATTAATCTTCCGCTCCCAGCCGCCTAGGAGAGAAACACTGCTTTTTCTTTTTTTTTCTTTATTCCGACACGGAGCCGTGTCAGAATAGAAAAAAAAATGCCCATAGGAATGCATTGCTAGATTCCTATTGGCTATTTCAATTTGCAATAGCCAATAGTAAACTAGCATTGCACCCGCCCGCTGCTGCAGTTCTCCATCAGGTCCATCAGCAGAGGGCGGGTACAATGCTAGTTTACTATTGGCTATTTAGTTGGACTGTGTTGACACCGGGCCTTCCCATCGCCCCTGGATCTGATGCCCTAAACAGTGCGCTCCCCACCCCTGCAGGCTGGCATCCGTAGTCAGAGTGACCCAGGTACCGAGCCCCAGAGGCAGCCCTTGAGAGAGGCACGGGGAAACTTTCCACCAGCACAAATTGTCTAGCATTGGTGAAGGCATAATGATCCTCTGGCCCAATGCTACGTGGTTCCATTGCTGCAGAAAACACGTTTGGAACTGCCGCATGTGCCACCCCGCCCACTGTACCACTGGGATACAAGAGGACAACATCCCTGGCCTGCAAGGCCTGTAAGATGATGACCTTGGTGACACAGTCCTCCACCCCACCACCCTACTTCTATTTAGCAGTTGTCCCAGAGTATTTATCTCTTATTAACTCCTTCCTTTGGACCCCCATTTCAAAATATGATGGGCCAAATACTGCTGAATGGAATGTTAAGCTTTTTCACTGGGAAAAATTAAAACCCTTTTAAGACATGCATGCCAAATTTGATATGCAAGTTGATTAGATTCACAAATTAATAGGTTCAATTAAATAATTATGATTATGGCTACAAGGGCAGCATTTACTTTGAAGCAAATGAGCTTACATTTGCATTTACCAAAGTTTTGCTGTATCTGCAATATAAAATAAAAGGCAACAGCAACATTAGCTACAAAGGAGAGATAATATATTGTTTTAACCCATACAAAGAAGTGGTGCTGTTACAAAACAATTCTCAATACTAAGACTGCATTTTTAAGCTTAAAAATAAATGCTTGAATATTACCATTTATTTCACATGCTCTTACTTGTTCATTTATGAGAATTGACAATAAAAACAATGTTACTTCCCTAAGGGTCCCCACACACCTTACGATTATCGTACGATAATCGCGGGAAATCCGGCGATCGTACGATGATCGTAAGGTGTGTGGAAGCCGTGCGACCTCTACTACTGTAAGGTCGCACGACTTTAAACTTACGGACATGTTCGAAAACCCGCCGAGCATCGTACGATGTTCGGCGGGTTTGTGGCATGTCCGTGCGATAACAGCCGTACGGGCCGGTGTGCGCAAGCGCACACTGCCCGTTCGGCATTGCGGTCATCGGAAGCCCGCCCCTCAGGGGGCGTGGCTTGAGATCATCGCAAGTACGATCTGCCTATGCAACATAGGCAGATCGTACGTTTTTTTAAGTACCTTACAACCATCACAAGACAGAAGTCTTGCGATGGTTGTAAGGTGTGTGCCCAGCCTAAGGCACCAGCATCCTGTAAATGCCATATAAACATGAACACCCGGGTCAGCTGAGAATTATTAATTCCTATGGCGAGTAGCAGTTTAGATGCAGCCAGCATGAGTAAATTGAGTAAAACATATTTACAACAATAAGGTTGACATGTTATTGCAAACAAGTCCTATTTTTTTTAATTTTCGTTGCACATAATTGAGTATTCTTTGGAAAGTAAATGTACTTCACCTTATTCTCTAAGCTAAGTGAAAATTCACCTTGCAAAGTAAACATGTTCTACTGCTTTGGTAAATCAACCTCAACGGGATTCATTTACTAGAGTTGAAATCCTTAACTCGATAAATTGTAGCTGTGTTCACTTTGAATACTCAATTAAAATAAACAGGACTTTGCTTCTTACCTAACTGGATAGTTAAAGTAAATCTTCACTGAATTTATTGCATGACGATCCTCAATTCCTTTAGTAAATCAGCCTCATTGCTGCACCTCAATATTTAACAGAAGGGTGACAAAAAAAATCCTGTATGCAACATTTGTGAAACACTGCTTTGACATTTTGAGGGGAATTAAATAAATAAGTGTCTCATACAAACGTTATTTCGACTTTGTCTCAACTGGGGCACAGCTAATCAGCTTTAAAAGGCTAAGTTTAGCTTTTATACCATGTTTCATGTTACACCCATATTCAGGGTGTAACATGAAACATTGGCACCCCTCTACCCCCCATCCCTTCCCCTATTTACCTGAATTGAGGAATTCTTCTCCCAGCAGACTGCTGCTGTTTTTTTAATCTGGTGTGGTTGTGTGTGGCTCCATTCACAGATTTTTTTAAAGGATTCCTAAATGGATAAATTACAAGTCCCATCTACCTCCATAGCAGAGAGACTTGCAGTTCTCAACAGAATATAAGTGCAGTGATATCACCACTTTTGTAGTCCATTGACAATTTTTCGCATTTCTGTAGCTCAGGGTTAGGCAACCACAGTAATCCAGATGTTGTGGAGCTACAAGTCACATGAGGCATTGCAGTCACACAGGCATTATTTCCAGAGGCAGAAGCATAATGGGATTTGTAGTTTTACTAAAGCTGGAGTGCAGCAGTTGTCTACCCCTGCTGTAGCTGAAAGCCCATATCTTAGTATGGATAGGGACTTGAGAAAGGGTCTGCAGGAGCCAGAACATTGCAGCCATGATCCACAGTGAGCAAAACCATTTATATAATTAACAGGCAAAAAAGTTAGCAACTTAAGTTGATAAGGTTATTGCTACAGCTAACATTTCAGATACAATGCATGTTTTTGATACAACAGAAATGGTTTAATGTGTGCTTTAACAATATTTTTTTAGGGAGCGCTGGAACACCAGTTACTTACAATGAAAATGGAGATGCTCCTGGCCGTTATGACATTTATCAGTACCAAATAATAAACAAGACAGCAGAATACAAGGTCATTGGACATTGGACAAACCAATTACACCTTATTGTAAGTATTGTGTGTAATATATTTTTCTGCACAGTTCTGACTTGTCTTTACTGATATAGTATAAATAACAATATATATTTGATATTTTGTTAGTAAGCTGGCTAGCTTGCTAACATGCATCAACACAAAGCATTGCAATGCACATTATTACCGTATATACTCGAGTATAAGCCGTCCCGGATATAAGCTGAGGTACCTAATTTTACCAAAAAAAACTGGGAAAAAGTATTGACCCGAATATAAGCCGAGGGTGGGAAATGAGGCAGCTACTGGTAGATAGATACCAATAAAATTACATTAATATTTATTTAAAAGAAAAATAATGGTCATCTGGCAGTCTCCGGCCACCTAAATTAGGACCCGGAGACTGCCAGATGACCCCGCTCGGAGCGCCGCACACCGGAGCAGCAGTGACGCGAAGCTCGGCGAGGTAAGTAAGATGACACCTGGCGCTGACTCGAGTATAAGCCAAGGGGGGCACTTTTCACCCAAAAAAATGGGCTGAAAATCTCGGCTTATACTCGAGTATATACGGTACATGCATTTTGTGTGTGAACCCAAACTAACGGTACTAAAAAAAATTTGCCTGCAGGATTATTTAATGAGTTTCCATTGAAGACAATCTGGTATTACTAGTTCACTATCCCAAGGGAGCTGGCAATTTTTGAAAGACAAATATCCATGCAGGATAAAAAAGGTAGACGTTCTACTTTTCTATGTCTCTGCAGGGTCATCTTTCAGTAGTGACCAAGTGACCAGCAATGAAATAATTCCTTTGTGAGCTTCACCTCTTATCCATTTCTAAAACTAAGAGTCAAAGGAAGAACAAATGTACGAAAACAAATATATATTACACCTTAAATACAGTTAGTAACACAGAAAATAAAATAGGAAAAATATAAGAAAATGCATTGAACAAACCAATTTCTTTGGCACTGAATGAAAAAGAAGACATAAAATGAAATGGGACATAAAGATAAGAAACATATTAACACAGTGCTAAACAGATTTCAGTGCTATCAGCTTTATCTGCTTTACAGACTGATTATATTTGTTATGATAATTTTACTGTCATCTGAAATATTGATTCTAGGTAATGTTGGGGCTATTATTCCTAATGGTTATTTTTTATTTAGAGAAGTTAAACCTTCCTTGGCCCATTCCTGAGCAGACGCCTTTTCTTTCTATTTAATAATGTATTATTATTTTCGTTCAAATTATTTTTATTGTGTTTCAAGTTTTAACAGATAAGATGAAACAACGAGCATAACAAGATGTACAAAAAATAGTGCATATATTACGCACAGAGGGGTAAACCTGTGCAAATAACATGAACAAACCATTAACAATACAGCCATCATTAGTATCGGAATACACCAAACAAAAACAACCTCAATAGGGGGAAATCTCGACTTGAAGAGACAAAAGATCAAGGGACTTAAACGGGGAAAAAAATAGGAGGGGAAGAGGTGGAAGAGAAGGAAAAGGAGAGAACTAATATGGGAAGGGCAGACAAAGTACTGGAGGGGGGTGGTCTCGCCCACTCGGTCCGTGCTAAGTAAAAGGCCAACTTAGACAGGGCCATAGTAAGAGGAAGTTCCTCTGGAAGTCAGGTGAAAAAAAGTGGTCTAAACAGGGAGTCCAGATGGCAGCAAGCATGTAATTTAAAGGTACTCTCCCAACCAACATGTTTTGAAAACTTGTTTTCTTTTCTTTAGTACCTATCCTCCAGGGCACTGCCCAGCTCACCATTTAGTTTGTTTGTCAGTGCTTTTAGCTTAGAAAATAAGCAATCATAATTTAAAAGATAAATCTCCTATTGACTTCAATGGGGTTAGGACTCAGCATCTGAACTTAAAGGAGAATTATGGTGAGATACACTCTTCCCCATAATTAGAGCCAATGTCTGACACTGTATCTGTCACACGTGGGCTCTAAAGATCGTTAAACAAGCAATCCGATCGCTCATTACCTGACCAGCAGAAAGTGGTGATTGTCAGGATTCCCCCCTCCCCTCTCTATTGCTCTAAAGGTGCATAGACAAAAGACGTGTGACCATACAGTAGAAACGGTCACACACCTTCCATACACCTGACGATTATCATACAATAATCGCGGGAAATCCCGCGATCGTACGAAAATCGGCAGGTGTATGGAAGGTGTGCAACCGTTTCTACTGTATGGTCGCACGTCTTTTGTCTCACGAGCATGTTTGAAAACCCGCCGAGAATCGTACGATTTTCGGTGGGTTTGTAGCCTGCTCGTAAGACAAATGCCACACAGGCCGGTGTGCGCAAGCACACACTGACCGTTAAGCATTGGAGTCATCGAAAGCCCGCCCCTCAGCAGGGCGGGCTTGCGATGATCGCAAGTACGATCTGCCTGTCCAAGATGGGCAGATCGTACATTTTTTACTTACCTTACAACCATTGCAAGACGGAAGTCTTGCGATGGTTGTAAGGTGTATGGCCAGCTTAACGCTGACTGGAGGGACGGGGAGAGGCAGGCTCTGCCTCTAGAGAGGTAGAGCCAGCTGTCAATCAGCCAGCAGTGTTAATGCCAAAAATATTGTCAGGATCCATCCCAGCTGCACCACACTCTGCGCTGTCAGTATATAGCGGGCAATAGCATGATATAGTAATAATCAAAAATCACTGCGCTGGGAATGAGTGACTCGAAATCTAAATAACTAAATAGACCAGCAGCAACTTTGTGTATAAGTGAGTCTATTATGTGGCAAATAAGTTGCGCTCGGTCTAGTTGTGAATGGATGTGAAAGTGCTCTCTCAAAACCCAAAGGGGGAGATCACCTTCAGATAACAAAATAAATTTTAAATATAAAGTAGATGTCTCCACTAGTGATAGTGAACTAATGTTTGAAGATGCAGAACTCAACCCGGTGGTACTCGAGTGTATTGTATGTGTGTCGTGGGTTTTAACTGGCTAAACAAATCAGTTATATTGAAAACATCCGTAAAGGCATAATCATAAAGCAATAATATGTGAGAAAACAGTGAATAAAAGCACCTATATATAAAATCCAGTAAATAGTTAAACAACAAGTGATACGTAATAAAAACGAAAACGAAAAAATAAAAATAAAATAAAAATAAATATAAATATAAAAAATAAAATAAAAAATAAATAAAAATATAAAAAAATAATAAAGTGCAGCCCAGTGCGTGTTAGTTCCTCTCAAAACGGGAACTACAGGGTTAATAGGCTCAAATCCAAATATCCTAAACAGTCATTTCAGAGAAATTGCGGTTTGCAAAAAACAGTAATTACTTTCCTTATTTCCGTAATGTCTGAGTGGAAAGTTTATTCGTTCAACTGAGGGTTCCTCAGGAATATTCACAGGGATCCATATCAGACCACCCAATGGTCCAGAGATTCTCGAACAAGACTGTGGTTATAGTGATCCGGCACACTCTTTTCTCTCCAGATCTGTTTTTCTCCTATGACGGGTTTCCTAAAGACTCGCCGCCCGACTGGCGGCAAAGACCTGTAGAAAAAAGCTCCCAGGGGAAAACAAAAAAAGAAGGCAGGACCTTCTAAGTGTAGTAATTTAAAAAGGTTTATTTCTTTTCTTGAAAAATAAGTAGATTGCACTTACAAGATAAATGATATAATCAAGCTTAAAATCGTTTAAAAGGATGTCGGCTTTGGGTCACAGGAGGCCATAGTTCCCTTTTATGCTGGCTCCGCCCAGCTGTCAGAAGCAAGCTTCGGCTTTCAGCACTGCTCAGCTGAGCCGAGGCATATGCGTTCGGCTCGACTGAGCCGCTTGGCCAAGTTCGGGAGCTGTACGGGCTATAGTGAATAGCCCGTACAGCAGCCCTTCAGTTCTACTGATCCAAAGGGGTCCTGGTGCCGAAGCTAGCCGAAGGATCGGCCAAAGCTACGGCTAGATCCTTCGGCTGCTTGGTGAATAGACCCCTATATGTTAGCATTTGATACAGTACAATAGCACAGGTGTGGTGATGTTAAACTTTACTATTGTATCTAGTTTTTAGCAGCCCATTCCAGCTCAGGTCATCTTTACATTTTTGTTTCTTAAAGGGACCCTTATATTTTATTGCTTATATCATAACCCTTACAGGCCAATTCCCTGTATTATTCTGATGACAGTCCATGTAGCTGCTTTTCCCTTTAACTACCACTGAGAAAATGATGGATAATGTTTTAACTACACATAACAGTATACTTATTTCTGTTTCACTTTTGATACGTGGAGAGCATTGCCTTTTACTGGTGAAATATGCAAGAGTCTTAAGTGGAAATGATCACTTTGATTGCCTCATAGGAAAAGCTTCTGTGTGTTTTGAAATACCTTGGCTGAGCTATAGCTTAGAACTCCACGCAGGCTGCAATCCCCTTTGGGAATGGCTCAGGTGTTCAAAAGCACCACATGATAAGGTCTATTCATATGATTTCCCTCACTGCTAAAATCATTGTCGGTGGGAAGGGGAAGTACATTGGATGTATTTTTTTAATACTGAAGTTCTCCTCTAGAGTTTAGCTCACAGGTTTTACAGGCCAAATGAGTATGCTATAAGAAACAGTTCAAGAGGCTGAAAAAATACAGATTCAGCGGATCAAGAATAGATACTTTAGTGGAAGTTAAATTAAATCTGAAATTTGTTTTTCATAGTTTCACCTTCTTGGATAATGTGTTTTAAAAATTACCACATGTTGAAAATAAAGCATTTTATGAAGCAATTGAATAGAGGTGCAAAGGTAAAACACTTATAAAAAGCAACATAAAACACATTATTTTTCAGTTCAGTAAACCTCTGCTATGAATGGAATATGTTTGAAGCAGGCTTGAAATCCTGTTTGTTTTAGACAGACAGTGAAATAAAAGGTTTTTAAACTCCTTGCAGATAGGAAAGTTCAATGTATTGTACAATAATTCTCTTGTCATAGCCATCTGCACCAAAGGATTTCTTACCTTAATATACTCTGCTAAGCTACTTAAATATTTAAGCACATTCCAT